CCACCTTAGGTGTACGTGGCTGGCGCCTTAGCTGGTTGAGCTATAGGCGCCGAGCCTGAAGTCTTTACTTTATGTTGGAAACAAAGACCTGGGCCCTTGCCAGACACTCAACCTGCCAGCACCTTGATCTTGGACTTCCCAGCCCCACAACCTCACAGAAATAAATTTCTGTTCTGTATACATTCCCCAGTCTTAGATATTTTGTTAGGGCAGCATGAACCGACTCAGGCAGAGACACAGTCTACTGCAGGCAGAAGCCAGGCTAAAGTTTGGTCAAGCCCATTGGCACAGTGTCTGGGCAAGCCATCTGTGCCAGCTGGGAGTTCTGCTGCACAACCTTCATACTGGAGCAGGCAGGAGGCTGTGAGGCTGGAAGTCTGGAGGATTTCTCTTCTTTCTTTACAACCCTAGTGGGCAGTGGGAGGACCAGGGTGGACGTTAGCTAGGCCAGACTTGTCATGAAAGGCCCTGCACCCTGTTTCAACCTCTATTCAGAGAGTGACTGGTCAGGCAATGGGTGAGGACAATGTTATTGAGGAGAAGTCTCCCAGGGAAGCCCTCACTGATGCAGAATTTGCTGAGACTGTTGCTTTTTGTGCCTCTTTAGCTGCTGGCAGTCATCAGGGATGCTCCCGGCACAGCACATGCTGCCATGGAGGCTCCAAGGTGGTTGAGCTTGCTAATGTTCTAGGCCCTTGTGCTCTGCCTATGTAGGGAGGGATGGAACCAGACAGCTGGCTGTTATTCATCCAGGTGACCCACCCAGAGATCCTAGACATGTCCAGAAATCAGTGAGACTGGCTGTCACATGAGGAGTCTGTTTGGTCAACCACAGCCACCCTAATCTGTTGACAGGGAGAGAGAAGTATGGGTCTGTTGTCCTCTATTGAAGAGACAGCAGCAGATTTCCTCTCAGTGAGCCGCAGGTGACTCTGCCTCACTGCCATATACAGAGATTGGAAATACCCGAGGGTCACTCAGCCGTCCCCCTTCCTTGTCTCCACTTCCACATGGCTCCTGAACAGCCCAGCACGGACAGGCCAGCAGATCTTCTGCAATGGCCAATGAGGAAGCAGGCTCCAGGTGGGGCCAGCTGCCCTCATGAGACTGGTTGCACTCAGAGTCTTTGTTAGGAAATCCCTTGAGCTACAACTAAACAGAACAGACTGGCTCCTGCAGCACAGCTGACAGAAATATCTCACCAGGCCAGACTGCTTTCTCTGTTAAGATGGTACCACCCACACCTGTATGCACAGCTGATTTCTCTTGAAAGGAGAGGCGTGCCGTCATGAAGACCAGGACTGGCTTGGCAAGGCCAGGGCTGGGTGTCACGGAATGCTCATAGGAGGCACCCCCTCACTTTATTCTGGGTAAAGCAGGGTGGGAAGGGTAGGAAAACTAGGTGTCAAAAGTGCCACAATCCTCTCCTCCATCCTTTTGACTGATCCTGTCAAAGATCTCACAAAGCATAAAAAATTGGGCTCAGAAATCTGTGACATTCCAGAGGCCCTAGAAAATTACTGTCACCACACACTATTCCCAGTCTGTCTCCCTCATTTTCCGGACTACCCAGTGGGCAACCTAGAAACTGGTTAGAGCCAAAGATAGACAAAGCATAAAGCTTTCTAACTTCAAGGGCCTAAAAAGAGACCCATACATGTGATGAAGCAAAGGAGAAAGGCTTGGAGGGCTTACAGATTAAGAGGAAGCTGCACAAACGGGAACAAAAGGCTGAGAAATCAATTAGGACCTGAAGTTGTATATTTGATGTCAATTCAACAGACATTCATCAAGGCTTCCTCGATGTCAGGCACTGTGTTAAGCGTAAGAGTAGGAAGTATTAATAGAATAAGACACGGTTCACTGAGGAGACAGACATAAACTCTAATTGGAATATGATAAAACAAGTGCCCAGGGAAAAATGTCAAACCAAGGACATGAGGTTGTTCTATCCTACTTTCTTCTACAGGGGCGTGTTGCTGCGGGTTCCTATATGAGCAAAGGCAACTGGGAGCCGTGCCCCTTTCTCCTCCTTTCTCTCCCTCTCTCCTCATCTTTTTTTCTTTTCTCCTCCCTCCCCTACTGCCACCCAATGGCATCCAAGGGTACTCAGTCCCACTAATAGAACATGTTAAATAAGACAGGAGTCTCCCCTTATCCTGGGTTTTACTTCTCTCAGTTTTTGTTACCTGAGCTCTGAAAATATTCAGTGGGAAATTCAGGAATAATTCATAAGTTTCAAATTGCATGTTGTTCTGAAGCAGCGAGGTGAAACCTCTTACTGTCCTGCTCCATGCCACCCTGGAGAGGAATCACTGCTTAGCACCCCTCTCAGTCATCAGATCCCTGTGTCCCAGTAACACAGTATCTGTATTCAAGTAATCCTTGTTTTACTTAATAATGGCCCCCAAATGCAAGAGCAGTGATGCTGGCATATTGTTAAAATTGTTCTATACTACAGTATTTTATTATTATAATCTCTTTAAGTTATAATTTAAACTTTATCGTAGGTGTATGTGTATAGGAAGAAGCCTAGTATACGTGCAGGTAGGGTTCAATACTTTCTGCTGTTCTCAGTGTCCACTGGGGTTGTTGGAATGTATCACTGTGGATACAAGGGGAACCACGGTAAGTTGCCAAGTCCTCTTCTCCCATGGAACTGGAGTACTGAGCTGCTTAGTTTTCTGCTGAGGGGTGGCCTCAATATTAGGGCGACCAGAATTTAAAATCTGTAAGGTGGGACAACATGGCGCGGGGGCGGAGCGGGGGCGCTGGGCAGGGGACAGGGCAGAGGACGGAGCAGGGCAGGGCCTGACAACAATGCAAACTTTGATAAGCAGTTCTCAATAATCACTTCTCAGCAATTATTTATTACAGTTTAACATTATAAAATTAACAAAAATAATATAAAACTCATATTCTGGCGAAATAGCCATATGGCAGCTGAAAACCGTATATTCCCTTCTTG